CAATTACTTAATGCAGGCACCCAGCAGTACACTTGCTTCAGCATAATTCCTTGAAGATAGGGTCTTGGCTGTTATAAAAGCCAGAAGACCAAATGGACTAAAGGGTCAGTAAGCTGGCAGAAAAGGAATAGATTCGTTTCAGAAGCAATAGAATAATCAATGACCTTGGAGATTTCAGACAAATCAGATTTTCTATAGACGGCACAGGGGTATAAATAGCACAAACACAACACAGACACTTAGAAACAAAAGTCACCAAGTCAACTTTTTATTGAAAACTTGTTAAATCTAGAGCAGCAGTTCCCAGCCATTTTGGCACCAGGGACTGGTTTCATGGAAGACAATTTTTCCATGGATGGGGGATGGGGGGGGTGAAGTTTAGGCGTGATGTGCAGCCCAGTTCCTTAACAGGCCACCGACCAGGACTGGGCAGTGGCCAAGCGGTTGGGGTACCGCAGGTCTAGAGAACTGTTCACAACCACAGCTGCTAATGGTTATAGATTTGGCAATCAAAATGTCTTTGTTAAAAAAAAAAAAGTTTTAACTGCCTTAGTATTGAGGTTACAAACCACAGCCTTGATGCATTGTTGCAGTCAACATCCTCCCTGCTGTTTTTGAGAGCTTACATCTGCTGCTGGCAGATAAAATGCTGGCAAACGGCATGGGCTCCTTCCAGGAAAATAACAGGAGAAGCTTTAATGAGATGGCTCTTGTCTACCTTTCTCTCCTGAGTTGAACCCACAGCCTTTTCTATGTCACTCCTACCCTGTCTAGTTTGATCCCGTACAATTACCAAGGAGGGCTAAGGGTCTATTGGGATTTTTTTTTTTTTTCTGGCACAAATTAACCATGGCTGTACTAGTCTTACAAGATAAAAGGAAGATAGGGTCGTAGCTCAGGGGAAAGCAATTTAAGCACATATCTTCAAAAGCCACTTATAGTGTAGTGCACTTGGTTTTAAACAACCATTAACAAAACCTTTTCTGCTATTATTATTATTACTTTTAGAGAACTAAATGATCACACTATGACAAAATAATGACGGCTTAGTGTACTTTTACTTATCAAAGAAAGGCCAAGTTCGTGAGGTCAGGCTAAGCACAGTGGCTCACACCTGAAATCCTAGCACTCTGGGAGGCTGAGGCAAGTGGATCGCTTGAGGCCAGGAGTTCAAAACCATCCTGAGAAAGAACGACACCCTGTCTCTACAAAAAATAGAAAAATCAGATGGGTGTGGTGGCATGCACCTGTAGTCCCAGCTACTCGGGAGGCTAAGCCAGGAGGATTGCTTGAGCCCAGGAGTTTGAGGTTGCACTGAGCTATAAGGACACCACTGTACTCCAGCCCAGGCAACAGAGTGAGACCCTGTCTCCAATTAAAAAAAGAAAAAAGAATCAAAAGTAAGTTACCAAGCTTCTTTGGGGAATCAAAAAGCCAGGAACAAACTAAAAATACACAGAAAAAATCAGCCAGGCATGGTGGCACATGCGTGTAGTCCCAGCTACTCAGGAGGCTGAGGCAGTAGGATTACTTAAGCCCAGGAGTTTGAGGTTGCTGTTAGCAAGGCTGACGCCACGGCACTCTAGCCTGGGCAACAGAGTGAGACTCTGTCTCAAAAAAAAAAGCCAGGAACAGAATCAAGAAGTAAAATGTGGTTCAAGCCACTTGAGAAGTTAGATTCAGTTGAAATAAAAATTACTAGATCCATACTAGTTTTCAAAGAAAATGTAATTCAGCTGGGTGAAAACTGAGTATTGGGACGCTGAAGGAAGACATAGGTTAGGAAACTATTTCCTAGATGGTTCTCTCTTGGTGAGCTGACCTATGAGGATAAAATAAAACCAAACATACCTAGACTAACGCTTTCTAAGCTGTACATACCATGATACCTACCGGTTCTGCATTATGTAAATAGGTAGTGGGGGAGATTCATGATCACAAAGTTTTGGGAACACTGCACATTATATCTACCACTTAGAAGTCATGATTCACACTGGCATAGTAAGGGCTCTGAGAGGTTCTATAGTAAACAACCAAATCTTTACAGCTGTTCTAAGGGCCATTAAAACAAACAAACAAACAAATAAATAAAAACAATCAAATCTGTTTAATCCAGAGACATTTCACAAATGTATGTTTTCAAAGAACATTTATGCCATGGAATAGTTTTGGAAATGTTAGTCTAGGGTTGTTGTTCCTACACTCTCAACTCATTCCTTCAGAAACAAGAATGAGGCTGGTATAACAGACTAGGTAACTTCATTTCTTACATTACAGAACTCTAGCTCACAGACAGGTGAATTATCAAGGGTGATCTAGACATTTTCCAAGAGGCAGCCAAATAGCAAAGCTACACATTTAGAAGTGATAAGCTCCTTACCAAATAAATAATACCAAAATAGGGCTAGTATCAATTCTGAACATAATCATATATTACCCTCAAACACAGAAAAGAAACAGTGGAAAAAAGCCATAGAAAGGCTGACCATAGGGAAAACAGGTATGGTATTCCCATGTTTGATGAAGCCAATCGGATTCTGGCATTTTGGTATATTTTAATGCCATATGTCAGGGACATTCCTAAGGAGAGTTGCCAGGATCTCCTGCTGGGAACATATAGGAGGATTCCTGCACTTCTACATGCTGTCCTTTACAACATCAGGACATAGTACAGAATATAAGCTCAAGGAAAAGTATCGTGTTGACCTGAAAAAAGTATCTTTGAGAAACCAAAACCCTCACAATCTATAATCCACAGATGAGGATTATAATTTCCTACCCTTTCCTACACATGTCTGAGACCGAAAGACGACTAGCCGTCTAGAGACTGAAATCATTTGACCTTGTATCAAATGGTAGTTTGCTTGATTGATATATGAGAAAATAAGGCAAGATGCCTTGCCAAAAACCATCATCCAGACTGCCAGATACTCCTGGGTTGTCTTTTAGAAAGCAAATACATATCCCAGGAAGAAAACATAATGTATTATGTTAGTTACACTAATATAAGGCATTTTAATAATTATTTCTTCTAGACTGGGGAGAAAAAGAGGAGAAGGGGGGAGGAAAGAAGACATTTAAAAAATGGGCATTGAGGGATAGTACAGGCACAAGGATGGAGGGCATGACGGGCCTCCACATATCTATGGTTTTGACTAGGTCTGACTCAAATACTAAGGGCAGAACAAAAGGCTAGGAGTCAAAATTCACACCAAAATGCACGCATTGTACTCATACACATAAAGTACTCAGAGAAGGCATCCCACAAGAAAAATGAAAGACAGAAATCTAGAGAAATAACAACTGTTGGATAAAAGCTGGGAGGAAAGGACAGAGAGGGTGAGATGGGGAGAAATAGTAAAGAAAAAAAGTAGACAGTAGTAATAGTAATGAAAGGGAAGTAAGTCTTAAAAACAAAGAATTTACTGAGAAAAATTAAACTAAAGCACATTTTCTTAAATGCAGTGATGGAAGCCCTATTGTTACCTAAAGTAACTATTCAAAGAAGAGGAAAACCACACTGTTAGGTAAGATTCTTTTTTTTTTTTTTTTGAGACAGAATCTCGCTTTGTTGCCTAGGCTAGAGTGAGTGCCCTGGCGTCAGCCAAGCTCACAGCAACCTCAAACTCCTGGGCTCAAGCAATCCTGCTGCCTCAGCCTCCAGAGTAGCTGGGACTACAGGCATGCGCCACCATGCCCGGCTTATTTTTTCTATATATATTAGTTGGCCAATTAATTTCTTTTTATATTTAGTAGAGATGGGGTCTCGCTCTTGCTGAGGCTGGTTTTGAACTCCTGACCTCGAGCAATCCGCCCGCCTCGGCCTCCCAGAGTGCCAGGATTACAGGCGTGAGCCACTGAGCCCGGCCTGTTAGGTAAGATTCTTCATGCTTCAAGGATGGACTTTCCAAATCTCGATTTCTGCCAGTCTGACCCTAAACATAAAGGATTTATATTTCAGAGTTTTCTAATTAAGCTAAAGTTCTTCAGCTCCCTCTACTGTTCAAAAATGTACTTTAGTCAACTGAGTTCACTCTTTAGTGACCAAAATAAATAAAAAAATATACACGCATGTATATTCATGCATACACATATACAAACATCCCACCCCCACCCCAAATCTGGCATAGTCCAGGCAATCAGAGTTCGAACACACTTGCCTATCATGAGATCAATGACCTGGACCAAAAACTCCAGAATCATCAATAACAGATTCTATCATCCCCACCACACAATCAAAGTGATTCAAGGTAAAATCGAGGGTTTCCTTGGTAAAGGTTTTTTTTTTTTTATTTTTTTATTTTTTTATTTTTTTATTTTTTATTTTTTTAAGGAACCAAGTTTTCTGCTAGGTAAAGGTTTTAGTAAGGGACAAAGACCTGTACTTGTTAGCTGGATTGTGGCAATAGCTGTTTATGCAGAAATATGTATGTACCAGTTTCCTATATATCAGAAACCAAAATATCACTAAGTTTTTTCTGTTTCTGCCCTGGTCTTTTCTCCCCTTAATAGTTCCTTATTAAAAGACTCTCCAACCAGTGTGGTGGCTCATGCCTATAATCCTAGCATGCTGGGGGGCCAAAGCTGGAGGATCACTCAAGGTCAGGAGTTTGAGACCAGCCTGAGCAAGAGCAAGACCCTGTCTCTACTAAAAATAGAAAGAAATTAGCTAGACAACCAACAATATATAGAAAAAAATTAGCTGGGCATGGTGGTGCCTGCCTGTAGTCCCAGCTCCTTGAGAGGCTGAGACAGGAGGATCACTTGAGCCCAGGAATTTGAGGTTGCTGTGAGATAGGCTGATCCCATGGCACTCTAGTCAGGGCAACAGAGCAAGACTCTGTCTCAAAAATAAATAAATAAAAGACTCTCCATCTCTTCATGTGTCTAAATTCAGTTGCTGTATCTTACTATCTTAAGGATATTCTATATTGAAAGATCTATGAGTCAGTTATGGTAGCAAACCAAGCATCTGTCCAAGAGAAGTATTCTATACTCACCTGCTCCTTAAATTGCTTCTGAGACAAGCAGTCAGTTAGGTCCACACAGCCCAGAAGACAACCTGATGGATAGTCATTGGGAAATTCCACATCTGAATGAAGAACAACAAAAGGATTGAATAAATTTCTTTCTTTGTGACCCTGGAACTCAGGAATCTGTTTTCAATTCTGAACAAATAACTTTTTCCATTATCTTTTTGTAGACATAAGGAAAACAATGAGCTCTTTATTTGACACAACTGTTTATATTTTAGCAAAAAATCTAGTGAGTGGATGCCTTAGTCCATTATCCAGATGCTAAGCTAGAAAATTTTTCCTTTAGAAAACTATTGCCCTCATGCCATCAAAGCTCAAGGACTCCCAAGTTCATTCTGAACAAAATGATTACTATACTCAGTTGGATCAGGTTGGAATTTGGTATGGACTGATTTTAGAAAAAAAGAAATGAAACTACAGATGACAAGAGAAAAACCATAAAAATGTGGCAAAAACTCTAAGAATGAATGGCGGAACACAAATTTAAAACAAGCCAGTCATATCTGTCAAAATAGAAATGTTTTTTAAGGAAGCATGCAGTTTTGATTCCTAGTGATTCCTTAAGCTAGCTTTCTTAAAAACTTCTAAAGGTGGTTCTGCAGTTATCCCTTCATTATACCTTCAAAACAACCATATGAACCAGATAAGAGGAAGGAAAACAGGATAACTAAAGGTCAGAAGACCTTTTTAGGATCCAAAGTTGGGGTGCTTGGGGTGATTCCCCAAATACATTCTTTAAGTCATTCAACTTTTTTTTTTTTTTTTTTGAGACAGAGTTTCGCTTTGTTGCTTAGGCTAGAGTGAGTGCCATGGCGTCAGCCTAGCTCACAGCAACCTCAAACTCCTGGGCTCAAGCAATCCTGCTGCCTCAGCCTCCCGAGTAGCTGGGACTACAAGCATGCGCCACTATGCCTGGCTAATTTTTTTTCTATATATATTAGTTGGCCAATTAATTTCTTTCTATTTATAGTAGAGACAGGGTCTCCCTCTTGTTCAGGCTGGTTTCGAACTCCTGACCTCAAGCAATCCACCCGCCTCGGCCTCCCAGAGAGCTAGGATTACAGGCGTGAGCCACCTCGCCCAGCCAGTCATTCAACTTTGATCTGTTTAAATCTAATAGCGGGTATCTTTTTGGGTCACTCCCAGTAAAAATTCTTATTTATGGTTGTTCTTCCCAATCTAATGGTCCCAAGATTTATAGTAGTCATTTTACCTGCATAGTAATAAAGATAGAGAGGGGAGTGATGTTGGGAAAGGGAAGGGGGAACAAAAAAACCCAGAAGATTTTCCAGTAAAAAATTAAGATAAATTAAGATAAAATTAAGACAAGTTGTTTGATTTCTGGTGTTGGAAACTGATATCGGCACTGTTTGAAAAATTAAACCTTTGAACAGCTGTCTATGATTTGCCACTAAATAAACACACACACACACACACACACACACACACACACACATTGAAAGTCCCTTTTAGCCAAGAAAAAGCCACAGGAAGAAGTGAAAGAAGGTGAATGTCAATGACTTCTCTCCACAAAGTAAGACTGAAAGGAGAACATATGGCTGTTACCTTTCCCACGAAGAAGACGATATGTAGCCTGGAGTTCTGAGACTTCTTGAGGGGAGGGTTTTTTGGCTGTGGCTGCTATCCAAAGTCGTCCTCTATGGGGGGTATACCAGGATCTGCCCTCCACCCTTAAACAAATACAAATTTAGTGGGAAAGATCTAAATTCTAGTTTTCTGGAAGATCCCATAATATACAACAAATCCTATAGCAGATTATCCAGTTGAACCAAGAGATCTATAGATGATACCCTATCAAGAGGGATATCTTTTGTGAGAAACACTTTTCTCCCACAATACCTTTCACTTGAGGATGAACACTGTTCTCTAATTTCTTTTGCTATTGTTGTTGTTTGGGTTTTCTTGCGACAGAGTCTCACTCTGTTGCCCAGGCTAGAGTAATGTGGCATCAGCTTAGCTCATAGCAACCTTAAACTCCTAGGCTTAAGCGATCCTTCTCCCTCAGCCTCCCCAGCAGCTGGGACTACAGGCATGTGCCACAATGCCCAGCTAATTTTTTTTCTATTTTTAGTTGCCCGGCTAATTTCTTTCTACTTTTAGTAGAGATGGAATTTTATTTTTGCTGAGGCTGGTCTCGAACTCCTAACCACAAGCAATCCTCCCACCTGAACCTCCCAGAGTGCTAGGAACAAAAGGCATGAGGCTCTGCACATGGCTGCAGGAACTGTGAATAAAAGAATTAAAATATTTAAATATAATTAATAAAATTCTAAAACTATAAAATAAAATTGAAAAAAAAATTTTTTTTAAAGGCATGAGGCACTGCACCCAACCACTAATTTCCTCTATCACCAAAATAAAAATAATTCATCTCTCTCAACTCCTGACTACTTTTCACCTGATCCCTATAATTTAGACCTGGAGCCCTCCCCAGTCTTGGGACTTTTATAATCCAAATGCTATATTTTCAAGGCATCCAGATTATCCCACAGATATGGAAATCCTTGCCCATGAGTGAAAGCTACCTTTTTCCTGGAAGATTTGTTCTCCAATCTGACAGAAAAATCCTAACTCACTCTGTAACTCCCCAAAATGGTACTTTTTAATTATTATTTAATAGAAGTATATAAAAATGCTTACCATCCTTACTCTTTAAATTACAACCACACCCATTTACATTTTCTAATATAATGGGTATATAGGATTATGTTCTCTATGGATAATTAAACAATTTATTGGTCAGGCACGATGGTCCATGCCTATAATTCTAGCACTTTGGGAGGCCAAGGTGGAGGATTGCTTTGAACACAGGAATCAGAGATCAGCCTGGTCAATAGCAAGACCTCTGTTTCTACAAAAAAATTTTTAAAAACTACCAGGGCATGGTGGCCCATGCCTGTAGCCCTAGCAACTCAGGAGGCTGAGGCAGGAAGATCGCTTCAGCCCCAGAGTTGGAGACTACAGTGAGCTATGATGATGCCACTGCACTCTAGCTTGGGCAACAGAGCAAGACTCTGTCTCAAAACAAAAGAAAAAAAAAAAAAAACCAACCTGTTGACTAGTTAAGAAACACAGATGAATTGGAAGAGCATCAAGACACATAGTAGGTGCTCAATATAGGGAATGAACCAATATACGTCTTCCCTCTAGACCAAATAACCTTCACGGTAGCTGGGGAAAAGGTCCCACAGATATGGCAGAACCACCCTCTTCATTTTTGTGGGACAGTGATTATGAGCTAGATACTCATTCTATTCCTTTCAATGAAAAAATCTGAATAGCAGAGATCCAAAATAGGACAAGAGAAATGTAAATACTGTGATTCCCTTAGCAGAATGCAGCTGCTTAGTTTTCTTTTTCTTTTCTTTTTTTTTTTGAGACAGATTCTCGCTCTGTTGCCCACACTAGAGTGCTGTGGTGGCAGACTAGCTCACAGCAACCTCAAACTCCTGGGGTCAAGCCATCCTTTGCCTCAGCCACCCAAGTAGCTGGGACTACAGGCATGTACCACCATTCCTGGATAATTTTTTCTATATATTTTTAGTTGTCCAGCTAATTTCTTTCTATTTTTACTAGAGACAGGGTTTTGCTCTTGCTCAGGCTGGTCTTGAACTCCTGACTTAGAGTGATCCTTCCACCTCCCAGAGTGCTAGGATTACAGGTGTGAGCCACCACACCCAGCCAGTTGGTTAATTTTCGACTTTGGAAAAGGAAGACTCCTAAATTGCCAAGAACTGAATAAGAAAACCAGACATCTAAAGGCTTGGTTGTCCTGGAGCAGAAGGAGGTTCACATGCACTTGTTCTAAAGGCACTACACACATGGACTATGAAACATTAGGAGCCAAACAAGAAAGCCTAACCTTCAAGAGGGAGAAAAGGTGTAGTGCACCTTAATAAAGAAGAGAAACAACAGCTAATAGTGAAACCACAAAGTAGAAATGACTGTGCCTAAATGCTGATAATTTTTCTTTCAGGAAAGTAGGGAAATGACTGAAGCCTGCACAGTGGAGTGGAAAGAGCACTTTGAAAACCTGAACACTAGTTCCTCCTCTGCCACTAACTAACTTTGTAATTCAGAGCAATCTTCTTTACTTTTGCCTGCCTCGTTGTCCTCATTTGACAAAGATTATAATAATAGTGTCCTAATGTACAGCCAAGTGTCGCTTAACAATGGGGATACATTCTGAGAAATGTGTCCTTAAGCAATTTCATTGTTCTGCATCATAGAATGTACTTACACAAACCTACATGGTACAGCCTAGGCTATATAGTATAGCCTATTGCTCCTAGGCTACAAACCTGTACAGCATGCTATTGTATGGGATACTACAGGCAATTATAACACAATGGTAAGTATCTGTGTATCTAAACATAGCTAAACATAGAAAAGATACACTAAAAATATGGTATTATAATCTTATGGGACCACCACTGTATATGTGGTCCATCAACTAAAATGATGTTACGGCCAGGAGCGGTTGCTCATGCCTGTAATCCTAGCACTCTGGGAGGCTGAGGCCGGTGGATTGCTCAAGGTCAGGAGTTCAAAACCAGCCTGAGCAAGAGCAAGACCCCGTCTCTACTATAAATAGAAATAAATTAATTGGCCTACTAATATGTATAGAAAAAATTAGCCGGGCACGGTGGCGCATGCCTGTAGTCCCAGCTACTCGGGAGGCTGAGGCAGGAAGATTGCTTGAGTCCAGGAGTTTGAGGTTGCTGTGAGATAGGCTGACACCACGGCACTCACTCTAGCCTGGGCAACAAAGCAAGACTCTGTATAAAATAAAATAAAATAAAATAAAATAAAATAAAATAAAATAAAATAAAATGCTAACCAAAAAAATAAGAAGGAAAAATAAGTATGTTGTAGTGACAAATGAAGGGGAAACACAAACATAAATATATATCTTGATGTCACTACATAACACTTTGCACAGGAAAAAGAATAAACATTCCAAAATGGTAATAATATACATTTCTAGGTGTAGGATTGCAGGTCATAGTTTTCTGTACTTTAAAATTTTCTATTGGTATGTATAAAAGCAAAGAAAAAAGTATTTTTAAAAATTTAATTAAGAGGCCCGGGCATGGTGGCTCACGCCTGTAATCCTAGCACTCTGGGAGGCCGAGGCGGGCGGATTGCTCGAGGTCAGGAGTTCAAAACCAACCTGAGCAAGAGCAAGACCCCGTCTCTACTATAAATAGAAAGAAACTAATTGGCGAACTAATATATATAGAAAAAATTAGCTGGGCATTGTGGCATATGCCTGTAGTCCCAGCTACTCGGGAGGCTGAGGCAGTAGGATCGCTTGAGCCCAGGAGTTTGAGGTTGCTGTGAGCTAGGCTGACGCCACGGCACTCACTCTAGCCTGGGCAACAAAGTGAGACTCTGTCTCAAAAAAATAAATAAATAAAATAAAATTTAATTAAGAAAAAACATAAGATACCATGGAATAGTAAGCTATTACCATCATTAACAGGTACAACTTAAGCTCTATAATACTTCTGCTTATCTCTCACTATTTCCCCTACTTTTTGTAGAAAAAGAATTTGCAGTAAAATAGTTTCTCAACATGGTTAGCCAGATTAATAGATATATAGATAGGAAAATAGAATCACAGTTAAAATGAATAAATGGCATAAAAAATTTAAATTTCAAATAGGATCAAACAATTAAGGTTGCCGAGCAGTGTATTATTAATACAAAGACAAAGGCAAGAGAAGTTTTTTCAATAGATTTTCTTCCAAAGATGAAATAACTGGTATTCTATCTCTGCTATGACTTTGATCCTTAGCTTTTATAAGTTTGGTTTGTTTTTTAAGCTATTTAGTACAATTTTTGTCAATTAAAAAATTTAAAATAATTTTTTAAAAACCTACTACCAATTCAGTAACATTAATATATTGTTCAAACTTCTTTCTTTTTTTTTTGAGACAGAGTCTCATTCTGTTGCCCGCACTAGAGTGCTGTGGCATCAGCCTAGCTCACAGCAACCTCAAACTCCTAGGCTATCCTTCTGCCTCAGCCTCCCAAGAGGCTGGGACAACAGGCATGTGCCACCATATCTGGCTAATTTTTTCTACATATTTTTAGTTGTCCAGCTAATTTCTTTCTATTTTTAGTAGAAACAGGGTCTTGCTCTTGCTCAGGCTGGTGTCGAATTCCTGACCTCAAGCTATCCTCCTGCCTCAGCCTACCAGAGTGTTAGGATTACAGGCGTCAGGCACTGCACCTGGCCTATACTGTTCAAAGTTCTATTGATTGAAAAGTATTATAAATCACTACTAAGTTAGGAAAAACTAATTTCGATCCATAATTCTAAATCAAGTTATGTCACTCTAAGATCTTCCATTGCCAAGATTCATTTTTGTTCTTACCTTTTAATCCCTCTGACTAGCAGAGAAGCCCAGGGCTGATGTATAGAGAGGCACCAGCCACCATCAAAGCCTTCTTGAAATTCTTGATCCTGGATTCGCAACTGGTGCTGAAATGAACTGAAGTCTAGTTCTGATCCTGCTGAATGGAAAGCCTTCTTCTGTGAGGCTGTACCTGTGTAGTCGACCCACTACATAGAAAAAACCAAACATACAGCTTTGTCTGATAAGGGAAAAACCGGAGGTGGACAAAATGAGATGAATGCTAATAATGAGGAAATCATCCTGTGAACATTTTCTTAGAAACATTTTCCCCATCTTTTTCTAAAACAAGGCCAAAAAAAGGGCAGCGATGGTATAAATTCAGAAGTCCCAGGTATCATAACAAGGTCCCATCTTAAAGGATAATTAGAACATTAAAATCTCCATACAATGCTTCCTAATTCCAGCAACAGCACAACTATCAGACCAAAAGAGCTGTAATTATTCCTACTATATATTTATTAATGATCCATACTGGATTTTGGATAATTTTCCAACATAATTCTATCAGCCAAATGAAGGTTCAACATGTTGGTCCACAATTCTTCCTGTGCTTAAAGGCAGAATCACATGCTGCCACCATAACAAAGCCAAACAGATGGTGTCAGAAGCAGCAGTTCTAACTATTGGATGCATGAAATAATCTCTTACCCTGAAATAAACAACTTGTCTCCTGAAAGAGAGGATGGAGAACTATTTAAACAAGGTTCCCATCATGTAAAGAGAATAGAGAATTACAGGGTACAGGTAATTATAGGAGACTGAAGAGTCTTGGCAATAGTTCAGTCAGAGAGTGACTAAGGTTAATGTTTCTTCTAGAGCAACAAGACTAAGTGTTCCAGAATTAAAAAAAAAAAAGACTATTAGGATGGTGAGGTTTGGGCTTAGTTGTCTTAATATTTTAAATTTAATAATTTATACAGTCAAGTGTGGTGGCATGTGCCTGTAGTTCCAGCTACTCAGGAGGCTGAAGGCAGGAAAATCACTTGAGCCCAGGAGTTTGAGACCAGCCTGAGCAACATAGTGAGACCCTGTCTCTATGAAAAATAAAAAAATTAACTGGGTATGGTGGCACACTCCTGTAATCCTAGCTACTCAGGAGGCTGAGGCAAGAGGATCACTTGTGCCCAGGCACTGGAGGCTGGAGTGAACTATGATGACACTACTGTATTCTAGCCCAGGCAAGAGCAAGACTCTGTCTCAAAATAATACTAATAATAATTTATAGAAAAAACCTGCTAGAGTGGTAGTCTGGAGACCCCAGGCAATCATTTAACTCCTAAAGGTTTCAGTTTTCTCCACTATAAAACGATGAGGACAGACTAAATCAATCTTTTTTTTTCTTTTTACTCAAATGGCAAGGACCAGATTAAATAAATATCTAAGAATCTTTCTGAATAAAACGTTATGATTCTCATCGTGTCATATCTTTTAAGAAACACATTTATTGCTTACTTAAATATGTGAAAAGCACATGAACTAGGGAGACAAGTAAAATATGAAAAATATTACACAACCAATGAACTATCATCTAATTAGAAAAAGAAAATAAATATAATATTTATAAATTTTAAAAAATATGAAAAATATATGGTTTTTGCTTTCAAGGAACTTATACTTCTAGTGGCAAACACATAAATATCCAAAACATAAGGCAGAATTGAGTAAATACAAATAGGAATAGAAGTTCTTATATGGTGACCAGGCGAAGTGGTTCACACCTATAACCCTAGCACTCTGGGAGGCCAAGGCAGGCGGATCGCTCAAGGTCAGGAGTTCAAAACCAGCCTGAGCAAGAGTGAGACCCTGTCTCTATTAAAAATAGAGAGAAATTAATTGGCCAACTAAAAATATATATAAAAAATTAGCCAGGCATGGTGGCGCATGCCTATAGTCCCAGCTACTCGAGAGGCTGAGGCAGAAGGATTGTTTAAGCCCAGGAGTTTGAGGTTGCTGTGAGCTAGGCTGATGCCATAGCACTCTACCTTGGGCAACTGAGTGAGACTCTATCTCAAAATAAAACAAAACAAAAAAAAGAAGTTTTTAAATGGGAACATAGAGGAAGAAGAATTGATCCATTAAGTAATTTCATAAAAATGTTGGTATTTGAATAATCCTGAAGCCTGATTTCTCTTTTCTATCTCTACTACAGCTCTTGTCTCTCATTATACAGTCATTTTCCTAAATTAATCCCTCATTATCTTTCAATAATGCTATTACAGAACCTATTAACAGGTCTCCTCATCTACATTTTTAGTCTTTAAATAACTCTCTACTGCCCTACTAGTGCTACAACACTAATTTGGGCTCTCATCATCTCCCCATTGTGCTACTGCAATAACTTCCTTAGCAACTTCCCTGCTTCTAGTCCTACCCTTCCCTCCAATCCAATCTCTACATGAGTTGTCATGCCAATCTTCTGCTATAATTAAAGGGCCTTTCTTTGCCTACTTTGGGATAAAACCCAAACTCCTTCACATGAGACATAAAGGCTTTGATAATCAGGTGTTGTTTACTGTACTGGATTGAGCAGTATCCTCTCAAAATTTATGTCCACTTAAAATCCGTGAATATGATCTTATATGGAAATATAGTCTTTACAGATATAATCAATTTAAGATCAGGTCATACTGGATTATGGTGAGCCCTAAATCCAATGACTGATGTCCTTGTAAGAGGAGAGGCCGCATAGACAGAGACACACAGGGAAGAATGCCATGTGAAGATAGAGGCAGAGATTAGAATAACACAGCTACAAGCCAAGAAACACCCAGGGCCACCAGTAGCTTAAAGAGGTAAAGAAGCATTCTCCTGTACACTCTTTGCAATGAATTTGGCCCTGCCAACACCTTGATTTTGGACTTTTAGCCTCCAGATACAAAAGGATAAATTTATGTTGTCTTTTTTTTGGAGACACAGTCTCACTGTGTCACCCGGGTTAGAGTGCTATGGTGTCAGCCTAGCTCACAACAACCTCAAACTCCTGGGTTCAAGCGATTCTCCTGCCTCAGCCTCCTGAGCAGCTAGGACTAGAAGCATATGTCACCATGTCCAACTAATTTTTTCTATTTTTGATAGAGACAGGGTCTCACTCTTGCTCAGGTTGGTCTTGAACTCCTGATCTCAAGCTATCCTCCTGCCTCGGCCTCCTAGAGTGGTAGGATTACAGGCATTAGCCACTGTGCCTGGCCCTCTGTTGTCTTAAGTCACCCAGCTGGTAGTACTTGTTATAGCAGCCCTAAGAAACTAATTCACCTACCAGCCCACAACAATAGTTAATTACTTGTGATTCCCCCAAACCCACAATGCTCTCAAGCTTCAGAGCCTTTGTTCATTCAACATTGTACCTTCTGCCTGAAATTCCCTTCCTAGATTTGTCTGTTTGGAAATTTCTATTTATCCCTTAAGTCTCTTTTCAAACACTATTTCTTTTGTGACGCCTCTAGCAGATTTATGAACACTCTCCTAAAGTCCTACTATACTCATGGCATGTATCTATTATAGAAATTATCTTAAAGAATTGTATAGAACCTGGTATATATACAATGCTGAATGAATGTCTCCAATTAAGCTGTCTAAAGCATTGTCCCAATTACATAATCTCTTAACAACCTTTTATGGCTCACATTTATTTACAAAAAAAAAAAGTGTTATCACTTCCTAGCTAAACAATTAAGTTTGTTTTTTTTTTTTTAAAAAGAGATGGGGGGCTCACTATGTTGCCTAGGCTGGCCTCCAACTCCTGGGCTCAAGCAATCCTCCTGCCTCAGCCTCCTAAGTAGCTGGGTCTATAGGCATGTGCCATTGCACCTGGCTAACATTTAAATTCTTCAGTGATCTGGTCCTACCTATCTAATTCTACTCTATTTCTCATGATAATCTACTTTTTTTTTTTTTTTTTTTTTGAGACAGAGTCTTACTTTGTTGCCCAGGCTAGAGTGAGTGCTGTGGCGTCAGCCTGGCTCACAGCAACCTCAATCTCCGGGGCTCAGAGATCCTACTGCCTCAGCCTCCCGAGTAGCTGGGACTACAGGCATGCGCCACCATGCCCGGCTAATTTTTTGTATATATATTTTTAGTTGGTCAATTAATTTATTTCTATTTTTGGTAGAGACGGGGTCTCGCTCAGGCTGGTTTCGAACTCCTGACCTTGAGCAAAGTGCTAGGATTACAGGCGTGAGCCACCACGCCCGGCTTCATGATAATCTACTTTATGAGTCCTATCTAGGTAGCCTATATTTACTATCACACACACACACACACACACACACATATATCTTATATATTTTAATGTACACATATCTTTGCTTTTATAGTTCATCCTGTTTGGAATTTTTTCCCCCACCATGTCTAAACAACCATTTTCTTAAATATTTCCTTTTAATGAATCCCAGCTTCCCTATAAAACCCTTTGATTCCCCTGAACTGGAAGTAGTCTCTCCCTCCTCTAGATTTCTACAGCACTTACATTTATATCTATTTCCCTACTAGTCTGTGAATTCTTTGAGGATAGAATGAGTATCCTTATTCTACTAATCATTTACTATGTGCTTATCCATAGTATATGCTCAATGTACTGGACGGTAAAATGAATTATGACAATGAATGAGTGAATTATTAACTTAACTTAAAATACCACTCTATGGGACTAACCATATTTTATAAAAGATAAAGAACATAACAATAAGACCATGAGATTTTTTCTAAATTTCTATAGTGCTTAAAAAAACCCTCTTAAAAAAATCCTAAGAAGATAATACAGGTCAACTTGCCAGAAGTGCTGCAATAAAAATTGGAAAAAAGTGGGTCAGAGAATAAGGTTGGTGGGTGTGTTGAAAGAGTAGATTGGTATCTAAAGTGTATGAAAGAGACACAGTTAAAAGGGAAAATATTTGGGGCAAAATTTCTCTCATTATCAGTCAGAGCAAAGGTCCACTAACCTGGGGAGGGGACTGGTACAGGTTGGGATTTACCAGAACTCCCAACGGATCTTCAGAAGATCTATCCAATTTGGTCAGTGGCTGGTTCAAGGTTCCATTGGCAATGGCCTGTATTGTCTCATCTAGTCTGTGATAACAAACCAAAAGGATGCAATAATTGGTAATGTTCTATGCTCAGAATGTCCTTATTTATACCAACATAAAACCCTTCAGTAGTAATAAATTTGGAATTCAAAAAGGAGTCCATGGATGACCTTCCCTGCTCTCTGCCACAACTTTCTTCTCTTCACACCAAAACCCTAAGGAATATGAGTGAGCAAACGTTCCAGAACACCAAGAAAATAGGGCACACTACAATCACTCATCTATTTAATAAGATCATTAAATATACCAAGATTAGATAAGGTCCCTAGAAATAGCCTGACCCATAAAAGAGTATTCCATGGCAGCTTATCTACTCAACACACCTTATGTAGTTATTCCTCTGCCTCCTCTGCAATCCCTCTCCACTCCTCCATGTTGATCTAAATTCTACCTTTGCTTCCAGGCTCAGTAGTTCTTTTTTTTTTTTTTTTTTTTTTTTGAGACAGAGTCTCACTTTGCTGCCCAGGTTAAAGTGAGTGCCGTGGCATTAGCCTAGCTCACAGCAACCTCAAACTCCTGAGCTCAAGTGATCCTACTGCCTCAGCCTCCTGAGTAGCTAGGACTACAGGCATGCACCACCATACCCAGCTAATTTTTTTTCTATATATTAGTTGGCCAATTAATTTCTATTTATAGTAGAGACAGAGTCTCGCTCTTGCTCAGGCTGGTTTTGAACTCCTGTATCTAGAGCAATCCTCCGGCCTAGGCCTCCCAGAGTGCTAGGATTACAAGCGTGAGCCACCTCGCCTGGCCAAGGCTCAGTAGTTCTAAACAGGCACCCCACTGGCTCAGCACAAAAGCGCTTACTCCTTTCTCTAAAGCACTGTAGCACCTACTATCTAAACAATAATGGGCTGCATGCCATGTTATCCTGTAACTATGGTGAATATTTGGATCTAAACCTATAAAACAATGTGATGATTTTCATTTAAAGAGTGTGGAATCCTACTGGTTATTAAGCGATCATAGGTCCTATAGGAGACCTACCTTATCCTATAGCTCTACAGTACTTGCTACTGTATTTCATGCCCCCATCGGATGTTTGACAAATGTATGTAGATGGTGATGGTAATTCTGAGGCACTTGGAATGAAAAGCTTCCATTATCAGGAAAGGCTAAACCTGACCTTGAATTAAACTCAAGATGTATTTGTTAGGAACCTCTTATGTGCAAGGCAACTTAAAAGGTGTGGAACACATGGTTTCTGCCTTCAAGAAGCTTTGAACCTAAGTGGCAAGTTTAAGACAGCTATACAGATAATGAATCATACATGAGAGGATGTAATAATTACTATGAGACAGGCACAACCCACCTGGTAGTTATTTATCCCATCATCCCATAGGTTGTATCAACTAGGTTCAAAGGAGAGGTAGATATTTGAAAGGAAAAGAATGGGAGAGGGAATTTCTAAACCAAGGAAGCAGAAAAAAAAGCATGAAGCTAAAAAAAAAAAGTAGAAGACTTTGTGGGAAGAGGAAAGAGGTGAGTCTAAAACAGGGTAGGGATAGTAGGATCTAAAGGAGGGAAATAGATTTGAAACATAGCACAGTGGTAAATGTATCCAGAACTCTAGAAACTATAAAAGAAATAATACAAATGGATAATGAATACATTTTAAAAACACTCAAACTCACTGGTATTAAACCAAAGCAATGTGAATAAAAATTACAGAGAATACAATTTTCATATGTCAGAATGGCAAATAGTTTTTAGAAATTGTTGACAAGGGGAAGAGGAAACTTATACTGATATATGGTATATAACTGATAAGTCAAAAAGTATACATAATTTAAATTTCCAGGTATTGTCCAATTTCTCTTCTAAAAGACTGTACCAATGTTTTTGTTTCTTTAAGTTAATAGTTAAGTTTCTTTAAGTTAATAATAATTTCTTTCTTTAACTTATTTTATTTTTTTATTAGCCTGACAATGACTGAGAAATAGACTTTACTTCTTTTATTTTTTTTTTTGAGACAGAGTCTCATTCTGTCACCCGGGCTAGAGTGCCATGGCATATGCCTAAGTCACATCAACCTCAAACTCCTGGACTCAAGTGATCCTCCTGCCTCAGCCTCCCGAGTAGCCGGGACTACAGGCAGGCACCACCATGCCCGGCTAATTTTTTCTATATATATATATATATTTTTTTTTTTTTTTTTTTGAGACAGAGTCTTACTTTGTTGCCCAGGCTAGAGTGAGTGCCGTGGCATCAGCCTAGCTCACAGCAACCTCAAACTCCTGGGCTCAAGCGATCCTCCTGCCTCTACCTCCCAAGTAACTGGGACTACAGGCATGCGCCACCATGCCCAGGTGATTTTTTTTTGTATATATATTTTTAGTTGGTCAATTAATTTCTTTCTATTTTTTAGTAGAGACGGGGTCTCCTTCAGGGTGGTTTCGAACTCCTGACCTCGAGCAATCCGCCCGCCTTAGCCTCCCAGAGTGCTAGGATTACAGGCGTGAGCCACCACGCCCGGCTCTTTTTCTATATATTTTTAGTTGGCCAATAAATTTATTTCTATTTATAGTAGAGACGGGGTCTCACTCTTGCTCAGGCTGGTTTCGAACTCCTGATCTTGAGCGATACGTGTGCCTTGGCCTCCCAGAGTGCTAGGATTACAGGCGTGAGCCACCTCGCCCGGCCAGACTTTACTTCTTAAAGCAGTTTTAGGTTTAGAGAAAAATTGAGTAGATAGAGATTTCTCATATATGCCCAGTCCCCATACACATATAGCCTCCTCCATTATCAATATCCTCCGCCTGGCTGGGCACGGTGGCTCACACCTGTAATCCTAGCACTCTGGGAGGCCGAGGCGGGCGATCGCTCAAGGTCAGGAGTTCAAAACCAGCCAGAGCAAGAGCAAGACTCCATCTCTACTAAAAATAGAAAGAAATTAAGTGGCCAAGTAAAAATATAGAAAAATGGCCGGGCGTGGTGGCTCATGCCTGTTATCCTAGCACTCTGGGAGGCCGAGGCGGGCCGATTGCTCAAGGTCAGGAGTTCGAAACCAGCCTGAACAAGAGCAACACCTCATCTCTACTAAAAATAGAAAGAAATTAATTGGCCAACTAATATATATAGAAAAAATTAGGCGGGCATGGTGGCGCATGCCTGTAGTCCCAGCCACTTGGGAGGCTGAAGCAGGAGGATCACTTGAGCTCAGGAGTTTGAGGGTGCTGTGAGCTAGGCTGACGCCACAGCACTCACTCTAGCCGGGGCAACAAAGCGAGACTCTGTGTCAGAAAAAAAAAAAATAGAAAAAATTAGCCAGGTATGGTGGCACATGCCTGTAGTCCCAGCTACTTGGGAGGCTGAGGCAGAAGGATTACTTTAGCCCAGGAGTTTGAGGTTGCTGTGAGCTAGGCTGACGCCACAGCACTCTAGCCTGGGAAACAGAGTGAGACTCTGTCTCAAAAAAATAAAAAATCCCCCACCTGAGTGGTACATTTGTTACAAATGACAAATATACGTTGACACATCATCACTCAAAGACCACAGTTTACATTAGGGTTCGCTTTTGGTGTTGTACATTTTATGGATCTGGACAAATTTATGACATGTATCCACCATTATTATAGTTTCATACAGAGTAATTATACTGCTTTAAAAATACTCTGCGCTCCCTCTATTTATTTCTCCTTCCCTTCTAACCCCTGAAAACTACTAAATAGTTGGAATCATAAAGTATGCAGGCTATACCATTTTAATACTCCTACCCACAGTTAAAATAATAAACCCATCTTCCTACACACACACTATGCCTGTGGCACTCAACCCTTAGGCTCTGGCCCGGTAGGAAATGAGCCTCGGATCACTACCTGAGCTACACACACACACACACACACACACACACACACACCCCTACACACATACCCCACAACCCACTCCTGGCCCCCATCGGCCTTCATGAAAAAATTGGGACTTCCATGAAAGCAGTCCCTGGTGCCAAAAATGTTGGAGACTGCTGCTATGCAATATTATCCTTTGTGTAATTTTAGCCAAATTTGATAAACCAAAAAATGATACATTATGTTTTAAAATCTGTATTTCCTGATAACTAGTTGAGTATCTTTTCAAATGTTATTGGGTACTTGTTTTCTACTTCTACTTTCTATGTACATATTTTTAAAGTCAACAAAAATAACAGACCTGTTATAGAAGGAAAATACTTTACAGTCAACCTACTCCTTCTTTCAGGCCCTTTCTGGTGCTGCTCAAGTTACCTGCTATGATACTCTGCTAGTGGATTTTCTTCTTCCAGGATCTTCCTGCCTGCAAAGTCAATGGTGATCTTCTTAGAAAGTCGAGAGGCATGTCGAAGTTCTCTCAGCTCCTCCTCTCGCTTCTGCAGGGTTTCCCGCTCAAGTTTGGATAACCACTGGTTAGAATCACTGGCAAAATAATCTGACTCATCATCAATGACTTGGGTCCTTCGAATGCTAAGAATAAAAAGAACACATGGCATTCAGGTCACTTGTTGACAAATAAGGATTTGATATACTGTGAAACTGTTTTAAGGTAGCTTACTCTTCTGCTATCCTAGAGGGTTATTATCTCAAACATAGATGCCCAAGAATGTTCTAAAACCAGGTCAAGCTCTGCATATATCTTATTTCCGCTGAAGTAGGTTTTCACTCTTAGAGCGAATCTCAGCCTCAGGCAGGAAAAGACATAGCACCATAATCCACAGTCCTTCTATCTTTCTTACTAGTCCAGCCCTCACCTTTTGATAACTGGGCTTCAGCCTGGTTTTAATGAAATTGAGTTCATGTTTGCAGGTTATACAATATCCTAGGCCCTCTATAATTGGGATCTACTCTATTCTAGGTAGGCCCATTTGCTTACTGGAGTTCTACCCTGAAATCTCAGTCCTATGACATAACTACTGACTCTTCAGATATGTTATTACCCTACTCCTATATGTCAGTTTCCACCCCCACTCCCAACTTTCCAGTCCCTCACTAATACAATGTGGCCAAGTTCCAAGATGTGACAATCAGGCCTATCTCTAAGACTGACAAAGAAACTGAGAACTAGAAGGAATCTCCTTTCTTATGATCTAACTTTCTTATTCTATAGATAATAAATCTGCGGCTCATAGAAGTTAGCTATTATTCCAAAGTCAGAAATCCAGTTAAGATTACCCTTTTTCATAATTACAAATAGTGATATAAATATGTGTAAGAGAAATATTAAAATCAGATTCATATATTAATTTTGAATTTCAATTTTTCCAAACTCAGTTGAAATTAAAAAAACTGTTTTGTTTTTTTTTTTGAGACAGAGTCTCACTCTGTTGCCCGGGCTAGAGTACCGTGGCATCAGCCTAGCTCACAGCGACCTCAAACTCCTAGGCTCAAGCAATCCTCTGTGTCAGCCTTCCAAGTAGCGGAGACTACAGGCATGTGCTGCCATGCACAGTTCATTTTTTTTTTTTTTTTGCTCATGGTACAAAAGTGTTTAATAAGCAATACATTAGTACAGAAAAACACATAGTTCATAGTTCATCCTTTAAAACCAGAATACCCAGTGTAAAGTCAGTACAGATTCTTTTTTTTTTTTTTTTGAGACAGAGTCTCACTCTGTTGCCCTGGCTAGAGTGAGTGCCATGGCGTCAGCCTAGCTCACAGCAACCTCAAACTCCTGGGCTCAAGCAATCCTCCTGCCTCAGCCTCCCGAGTAGCTGGGACTACAGGCATGCGCCACCATGCCTGGCTAATTTTTTCTACATATATTTTAGTTGGCCGATTAATTTCTTCCTATTTATAGTAGAGACGGGGTCTGGCTCTTGCTCAGGCTGGTTTCGAACTCCTGACCTCGAGCAATCCGCCCGCCTCGGCCTCCCAGAGTGCTAGGATTACAGGAGTGAGCCACCGCGCCCGGCCCAGATTCTTATTTTTACATTAAAAAAAAATCAACGATACACATTGGAATTGAAATACTATGTTTTTTCTTCTATCTAGAGATGTGATATACATGTTTTCTGATACGTAATATTCTACCAAACATTGCATTAAACCAAAGCAGACAGAAGACCAGCAAAGCTGTTTACTATCTTCTATTCATGCTGAGCTAGGCCGGTGGAACACCATCTTGGTAGGTAACCGAGAATGTTCCTGGTTAATTTTTTTTTTTTTGAGACAGAGTCTCACTTTGTTGCCCAGGCTAGAGTGAGTGCCGTGGCGTCAGCCTGGCTCACAGCAACCTCAATCTCCTGGGCTCAGCAATCCTTCTGCCTCACCTCCCAAGTAGCTGGGCATACAGGCATGCGCCACCATGCCCGGCTAACTTTTTCTATATATATTTTTAGTTGGCCAATTAATTTCTTTCTATTTTTGAGACGGGGTCTTGCTCAGGCTGGTTTCAAACTCCTGACCTTGAGCAATCCGCCCGCCTCGGCCTCCCAAAGTGCTAGGATTACAGGCGTGAGCCACCGCGCCCGGCCTAACTTTTTATATATATATATATTTTTTGTTGGCCAATTAATTTCTATTTATTTTTTTAGTAGAGACAGGGTCTCACTCTTGCCCAGGCTGGTTTCGAACTCCTGACCTTGAGCAATCCTCCCGCCTCAGCCTCCCAGAGTGCTAGGATTACAGGTGTGAGCCACCGCACCAGGCCACATTTTTTTTTAATTATTATTATTATTTTTTGAGACAGAGTCTCATTCTTTTTTGCCTGGGCTAGAGTGTCATGGCATCAGCCTAGCTCACAGCAACCTCAAACTCCTGGGCTCAAGCGATCCTCCTGCCTCAGCCTCCCAGGTAGCTAGGACTACAGACAGGCACGCACCACCATGCCTGGCTAATATTTTTCTATTTTTAGTTGTTTGGCTAATTTCTCTCTATTTATAATAGAGACGGGGTCTCGCTCTTGCTCAGGCTAGTCTCAAACTCCTAAGCTCAAGCAATTCACCTGCCTCGGCCTCCCAGAGTGCTAGGATTACAGGTGTGAGCCACCGCACTCAGCCAACATTTTTTTTTTAAAAGACAGCATCTCACTTTGTCACCTAGCCTAGAATACAGTGGCATGATCATGGCTCACTATACTATCCAACTGCAAACTCCTGGGCTCAAGTGATTCTCCTCTCTCAGCCTCCTGAGTAGAGTAGCAGGTTCTACAGAAGCACATGCCAACATACTCAGTTAAATTTCTTTAAAAAAATTTTTTAAGAGATGAGTTCTCCTTATGTTGCCCAGGCTGGTCTCGAACTGCTGGCCTCAATGATTCTCCTGCCTTGGCCTCTCAAAGTGCTGGGATTACAGGCATGAGCCATCACACTTGGCCTAAAATTTTTGTATTAAAGTCGACTTAGAGTGGGAGATTTTAAGAGGTCTCAGGAGAAAATTGGTCTTATACAAAAACATAGGTAATAAAACTCATGCACATGAACACACTGGCAAAGCAACAACAGAGAGAAATTTGTTTCCATTTTCTATTTATCAAAAAATGCAATCTGGTGATGGTGGTATACACCTATAGTCTCAGCTACTCAGAGGCAGGAGGATCACTTGAGCCCAGGAATTAGAGGCTGCAGTGAGGCATGATCATGCCACTGTACCATTCCAGCCTATATGTGACAGAATAAGACCCTTTATCTAAAAAAAAAAAAGAAAAGAAAAGAAATATACTCTATTTCTAATGATAAAATGGAATGTGATACCCAAAAGCTTAAGAGTAAATATGGGCTGGGTGCGGTGGCTCACGCCTGTAATCCTAGCACTCTGGGAGGCCGAGGCAGGTGGATTGCTCAAGGTCAGGAGTTCAAAACCAGCATGAGCAAGAGCGAGACCCCGTCTCTACTATAAATAGAAAGAAATTAATTGGCCAACTAATATATATATAAAAAATCAGTCGGGCATGGTGGCACATGCCTGTAGTCCCAGCTACTCGGGAGGCTGAGGCAGTAGGATCACTTGAGCCCAAGAGTTTGAGGTTGCTGTGAGCTAGGCTGATGCCACGGCACTCACTCTAGCCTGGGCAACAAAGCGAGACTCTGTGTCAGAAAAAAAAAAAATAGAAAAAATTAGCCAGGTATGGTGGCACATGCCTGTAGTCCCAGCTACTTGGGAGGCTGAGGCAGTAGGATCACTTGAGCCCAAGAGTTTGAGGTTGCTGTGAGCTAGGCTGACGCCACGGCACTCACTCTAGCCTGGGCAGCAGAGCGAGACTCTGTCTCAAAAAAAAAAAAAAGAGTAAATATGAGTTACACACCTTGGTGAAGGGCTTACTTAAAGAATAGCTTTCTTTTTTTTAAATTTATTTTTATCTTTTATAGCAAGGGGATCTCACTATATTACTCAGGCTGGTCTTAAACTCCTGTCCTCAAGCAATCTTCCCACCTCAGCCTCCCCGAGTGTTTGGATTACAGGTGTGAGCCACTGCTCTTGGCCAGGAATAGCTTTCTAAATTATATGTCATATATTCATAGTAAATGTTTTGCAAGTGGCAGGTGCATCTCCATAAAGGGCTGTAATACCAAGAACAGACTGTCAAGTCTGTTACAATAAGCAAGAGATTCACAGTCTCTCTAAAGACCCTCACTGATTCGTATATAGCCATTTGAGAAGGAGATATATATGTTCTATCCAAACACTCTTTACCATTAACTGGTTTTCAATACATATTTTGTCCAAAAGAAGAAAAAGAGGAAAAGAGGAAATAAAAAAATAGAACAAATCAAGAGCTAGTGTGGTGGCAGGCACTTGTAATCCCAGCTACTTGAGAGGCTGAGGCAGGAGGATCATTTGAACCCAGGAGTTTGAGACCGGCCTGGGCAACACAGTAAGACCTAGTCTCAAAAAATTAAAACGGTCACACCTGTAATCCTAGCTCTCTGGGAGGCCGAGGCAGGCGGATTGCTCAAGGTCAGGAGTTCAAACCCAGCCTGAGCAAGAGTGAGACCCCATCTCTACTATAAATAGAAAAAAATTAATTGGCCAACTAATATATATAGAAGAAACTTAGCTGGGCATGTTGGCGTATGCCTATAGTCCCAGCTATTCAGGAGGCTGAGGCAGCAGGATTCCTTGAGCCCAGGAGTTTAAGGTTGCTGTGAGCTAGGGTGACGCCATGACATTCACTCTAGCCTGGGCAACAAAGGAAGACTCTGTCTCAAAAAAAAAAAAAAAATTAAAACAAAAAACAAAAAAAAAAAAGAAAAAAAATGAAAGGAAAAAATTAAAAGAAAAAAATAATTAACAAATCATAAATCTCTCTCCTAAAGAGAAACCAGAAGGCTAAACAATAACAACATATGTGTGTAAAGGCAATTTAGGTTTATTGCAATATAGTGATTATTGAATCAGAAAACAATTTAAGCCAGGCTCAGTGACTCACACCTGTAGTCCCAGCTACTTGGGAGGCTTATGCAGTGGCTGACCCCAGGAATTCAAGACCAGCCTGGGAGATATAGTGAGACCACATCTCTTAAAAAAAAAAATTTAGCACCAAAAGGAAGTAGAAGGTTAAATCATGATTTCCTATGATATAGCATAACCTATGTTCTCCCAGAGGCAATTTCTTACAGATTCCTCAGAGCCCAGCCTAGCAGTTTACCCATGGTAGGAACTCTAATATATGCTGACTGAATGAATACCTGTAAGTAAAACAAGTGGGGGATTCTATTAACCCAAATAAACTGTCCAGAGGCGACACTAGCATTTGCTAAAAATAAAAAAATGCTATACAGTAGGATTATTTTGGTGGGAGCCTATCTTATTCAAACATGGATTAAAAAAAACAAGATGCAAACCTCCTATATAGAGCACTTAGCTCTTCTTTTGCTGTAAACCCTTTCATACTCCACCTTGAGAAAGTTTATCAAGCACCAAAATAATGTTTTAATGGCCAGAATCTGTGGACTAGTCTATTTATTAGCATTTATTATTCTAACCCTGTCATACCTAGTTCTGTCAAACTCTAATAGTTTGTCTTTATGCTTGATGGCCTTTTCCAGACCAGACTTAATTCGCAATTCTTGATGAGGAAGAAGGTCCTTGGTAGAGATGTCTGCCTTCCCAGAATTCTCCATCCCTGAAATTCAATAAAGAAATCAAATAGCATCAGGCTACAAATACAAATGAGTTGTATCACTGTACCACAAAGAACAAAATATCAAAGATCTGGTTGTGGCCTGATGGCCTGGAACCTTCATTTCAATGAAAAACAAGTACATAGGTCAGACCTTACCTGTAAAGCATCAAGCGGTGCTTGACACATAATAGGTTCTCAATAAATATTAGGGTCCTTTCTTCCCTTATAGAAATTTCAATCACCAAGACTACCAAACTATTTAACAATACAATATAATGCCTTATCAATGAAAACCTTTACTGAGTAGGGCTAAATATCACTTTTATTTTATTTATTTATTTTTTTGAGACAGAGTATCACTCTGTGCCTGGGCTAGAGTGCTGTGGCCATCAGCCTAGCTCACAGCAACCTCAAACTCCTGGGCTCAAATGATCCTTCTGGTTCAGCCTCCCGAGTAGCTGGGACTACAGGCATGCACCACCATGCCCGGCTAATTTTTTCTATATATATATATTAGTTGGCCAATTAATTTTTTTCTATTTTTACTAGAGATGGGGTCTCGCTCTTGCTCAGGCTGGTCTCGAACTCCTGACCCTGAGTGATCCTCCAGCCTCAGCCTCCCAGAGTGCTAGGATTACAGGTGTTAGCCACTGCAACCAGTCCTAAATATACTTTTATATATCAAAACTAAACACTAGGGGGAAGGGGGGCGGGTATATACATACATAATGAGTGAGATGTGCACCATCTGGGGGATGGTCATGATGGAGACGCAGACTTGTGGGGGGAGGGGGGAAATGGGCATTTATTGAAACCTTAAAATCTGTACCCCCATAACATGTCGAAATAAAAAACAAAAAACAAAAAAACTAAACACTAAATAATGGGGGAAAAAAGAAAATTTTTTGGCAAAGGGGCAGAAATGAATAGTTAATAAGAACCTAAGGTATTTAATAAACATTATTTCTCACAATAACCTGTAAGACAGTTTGTATTGAAAAAAAAAAAAAGGCCGGACGTGGTGGCTCACGCCTGTAATCCTAGCACTCTGGGAGGCCGAGGCGGGCGGATTGCTCAAGTTCAGGAGTTCGAAATCAGCCTGAGCAAGAGTGAGAACCCGTCTCAACTAAACATAGAAAGAAATTAATTGGCCAACTAATATATATATAGAAAAAATTAGCCGGGCATGGTGGTGCATGCCTGTAGTCCCAGCTACTTAGGAGGCTGAGGCAACAGGATGGCTTGAGCCCAGGAGTTTGAGGTTGCTGTGAGCTGACGCCACGGCACTCACTCTAGCCTAGACATTAAAGTGAGACTCTGTCTCTAGAAAAAAAAAAAAAAAGACAGTTTGTATTATTTTTATTTTTGTTTTACAGATAAGAAAACTGAAGTTCAGAGATGGTAATAAATTTACTGAGTTCACTCAGATATTATAAGGTAAAAACACACTTTGGGAGGCTGAGGCAAGAGGATTGCTTGAGGCTAGGAGTTCAAGGCTGCAGTGACCTATGATTGTACCACAGCACTCTATCCTGGTCAAGTCACTATCTCTTTTGTTTTTGTTTTGTTTTGTTTTGCTTTCATCAATAACAAGACTCAGACTGAAAGACCCTGTCTCTTAAAAAAAAAAATTTAAAAAAGATTCTAGTTTTCTGATTATAAAGCCAACACTTAGAACTATCTTTTCTCTTGGCCGAGCACGGTGGCTCATGCCTGTATTCCTAGCACTCTAGGAGGCCAAGGTGGACGGATTGCTTGAGGTCAGAGTTCGAAACAAGCCTGAACAAGAGCGAGACCCCGTCTCTACTATAAATAGAAAGAAATTAATTGGCCAACTAATATATATATAGAAAAAATTAGCCAGGCATGGTGGCACATGCCTATAGTCTTAGCTACTCAGGAGGCTGAGGCAGCAGGATTGCTTGAGCCCAGGAGTTTGAGGTTGCTGTGAGCTAGGCTGACGCCACGGCACTCACTCTAGCCTGGGCAACAAAGTGAGACTCTGTCTCAAAAAAAAAAAAAAAAAAAAAGAACTATCTTTTCCCAGAATAATGACCTTACAGAATCTTAATTGAAAACATATGGAGACATGTTCGACCTCATTAATTGTTAATAAAAAAATATTGCTTTTTACCCCTAAAAAAATACTGAAGGCTGGGCACGATGGCTCACACCTGTAATCCTAGCATGCTGGGAGGCAGAGGCAGGAGGATTGATTGAGGTCAGGAGTTCCAGACCAACCTGAGAAAGAACAAGATCCCATCTCCACTAAAAACAGAAAAAATTAGCTGGGTGTGGTGGCCCATGCCTGTAGTCCCAGCTACTCAGGAGGCTAAGGCAGGAGGATCAGGCAAGAAGATCACTTGAGCTCAGGAGGTTGAGGTTGCCGTGAGCTAGGTTGATTCCATGGCACTCTAGCCCTGGTGACAGAGTGTCTGACTCTGTCTCAAAAAAAAAAAAAAAAATTGAAATGTCAAAACTCAATAGTGATTTTTCACATTTACTTTTGTAAAAAGATAAAAAAAAGAAAACATAAAAAACTCAATATGAATATATTTTAGATATACTAATATTATTATAGATTAATACAGTATTTTGGTAAAGAAATTGGCAAATACATCTCCACTGCCAAAAATAACAATTTTCCTTCACTCAGTAATCCTATTCTTAGGAATTTATCTCAAGGAAATAAATCAAAAGACATGTTAACAAAGGCGAACATTTGTGGTATTATTTACAATTTGGGAAGAGTCAAAATATCCAATACTGGGAAATAGATAATGACATCATAATAAATTTATGGAGTTTTTGTATCCACTAAAAGCAAACATGAAGAATATATACCAAGTCCTGTGAACACATTAGAGACAAAAAGAAATGAAAAAAAAAAAAAAAGAATAGACAGCAACATAGAAACTAATTATAAAACATTAACTGAAAAAAATGGAAAAACACAAAATTCTTTACATTTCTGTGATTGCTACTTTATAATGTTAACCAATATGCTTATATAAAACAAAAACATCTATGGACCTTAGCAGGTAGCAACAAACTAAAATATTTGCATACATGGAAAATAATGATTGTATTGTTTTTTTCTTTTAAAAAGATCTTTAACTGTTTTTTGTCAGATGTGTTTCAAGCACAAAAGATTTACAAAAGTTGCAAAAAAAGGAGAGTTCCTAAATAACTTTCACCCAACTACCCCTAATTTTATAATATTTTATCTTATAAAACCATGATACAATTATCAAAACTAAGAAATTAATATTGGTATAATACTATCAACTAACTTACAGACTCTATTTAGATTTTAACATTTTTTCTGTTAATGTCATTTTTTTGTCCTAGTATCCAATTCAGGATCCATACCACATTCAGTTATTACATCTCTTTAGTCTGCTCCAATCTGTGACATTTCTTCAGTCTTTTCTTGTCTTTCATGGCCTTGTAAATCTCTTGTTCTTAAATTTTCCCCCAACAATTTTAGTATCCACTGGTGGATCTTGCCTGTAGCAATTACTACTGAGGTGTTCTAATGGTGATTTTTCTAGTATCCTCATTTCTTCTATCTTATTAATTGGAATTGTTCTATAAGAAAGAATTGTCCTCCATTTATTATATTAATTCATTCGGATACTTATTTATACAACTATGGTGTCATGGATATTAATTTTATTCTTGGGGTTATAATCCAATACTATTATTATGTATTTTGTTGATTAATGTTACATGGTCTTTTTTTTTTTTTTGAGACAGACTCTGGCTCTGTTGCCCGGGCTACAGTGCCCTGATGTCAGCCTAGCTCACAGCAATCTCAAACTCCTGGGCTCAAGTGATCCTTATGCCTCAGCCTTCTCAGTAACTGGAACTACAGGCATGTGCCACCAGGCCCAGCTAATTTTTTATATCTATATATTTTTAGTTATCCAAATAATTTCTTTCTATTTTTAATAGAGATGAGGTCTCACTTTTGCTCAGGCTGGTCTTAAACTCCTGACCTTGATCAATCCTCCCACCTCGGCCTCCCAGAGTGCTAGGATTATAGGTGTGAGCCACTGTGCCTGGTCTGTTATATGTTCCTTTTTTTTTTTTTTTTTTGAGACAGAGTCTCCCTTTGTTGCCCAGGCTAAAGTGAGTGCCATGTTGTCAGCCTAGCTCACAGCAAGCTCAAACTCCTGGGCTCAAGCAATCCTGCTGCCTCAGCCTCCTGAGTAGCTGGCACTACAGGCATATGCCACCATGCCCAGCTAATTTTTTCTATATATATTAGTTGGCCAATTAATTTCTTTCTATTTATGGTAGAGACGGGGTCTCACTCTTGCTCAGGCTGGTTTTAAACTTCTGACCTCGTGCAATCCGCCTGCCTCGGCCTCCCAGAGTGCTAGGATTACAGGAGTGAGCCACCGCGCCCGGCCTGTTATATGTTCTTAATAATACTTTTTTAAAAAAAAGAAATGCTTGTAGAATGAGCGAATAAACTGCATGTTGCACATCAGGATACAGAAAGGAGAAACCACCACATATACAACAAAATGTACTCATCGCCATAGTGATCCAATTAGAAGACTGCTGTCTACCTGACATGAGCTTCTTTAGCAGTTTCTGGCTCTTGTTTGAGTCACGTTGTAAAATATCCTGTTCTTCATGAGTACATACCTATAAAGTAATGAGAGTAAGATGTGATACAATAGTTCAATTATATTTTTAGCTTAATATATGTAAAGTAACCTCAATTTACAGTATGACAGTAAAACAATGAGACTTGGTGTTTTTTCATCCAGACAAATATACCAAAACATACACATCTGAATGAGTTGTGCCCTGAGTTTCCATTTCTATTTTTAATGAGCCATACAAAAACTTACCTCATGGAAGTATCCCCAAATGACTTACTGGTTTAAAAAAGAATCTAATCTACTTTCAAAGGATAAGTAGTTGCCACTGCTGAGAATACTGAAAAAAAAAAAAACCATGAGACTTTAAAAAAAGCCAGAGGCTGTGGCTCACTCCTGTAGTCCCAGCTACTCAGGAGGCTGAGATGGGAGGATTACCTGAGGTGAGGGGTTTCAGATCAGCCTGGAAAATACAGGAAGATCCCCATCTCAAAAAAAAAAAAAAAAAAAAGGACAGGAAAAAAAGCCTTCTAGTTCTTATCATGAAGCCGAAATATGATGTGAGATATTAACTTTTTTTTTTTTTGAGACAGAGTCTCACTCAGTTACCCTGGCTAAAGTGCCATGGCATCAGCCTAGCTCACAGCAACCTCAATTTTTGGGTTTAGGCGTTCCTTCTGCCTCAGTGTCCCAAGTAGCTGGGACTACAGGCATGCACCACCATGCCCAGCTAATTTTTTTTCATATATATATATTTTCAGTTGGCCAATTAATTTTTTTTTTTTTTTGAGACAGAGTTTCACTTCTCTTCTTCACTTCACTTCACTTCTCAGCCTAGCTCACAGCAACCTCAAATTCCTGGGCTCAAGTGATCCTCTTGCCTCCTGCCTGGGACTACAGGTACTACAGGTACTAGTCCTGCCTCCTGCCTAGGACTACAGTCCCTCCTGCCTGGGACTACAGGTACGCGCCACCATGCCTGGCTAATTTTTTTTCTATATATTTCTTAGTTGGCCAATTAATTTGTTTATATTTATAACAGAGACAGGGTCTCACTCTTGCTCAGGCTGGTCTCCAACTCCTGACCTTGAGCGATTTGCCCGCCTCGGCCTCGCAGAGTGCTAGGATTACAGGTGTGAGCCACCTCGCCCAGCCTTAGAACATTTTTATTGGTAGACACTACATTTTTCAAGTCTTCCTTTGTCTATCAGCATATACTCTCAGTATATTGAAAAATTAAGGACCCTATAAGAGGAGAAAATAAAGTAATATAAAATGGATGCCTTTATCAACACCAAATGCCATTGCTTCTGCCAGCTAGCTCAACTGGTAGGATAAGCTTTCTGGACAGCTCCTTAGAGTTTTTTTAGAGATAGTCATTACTGCTACATTCTTGAGGTCATTCTCTCAGAGAAAGCTATAACAAGGTAGTGTCCTGAATACAGAAGCTATAATGACCTAAGGATTATGTCACAGTGGCTTTGTTCTCTCAGGGATATGAGCCACATCTAAGACTTTTTTTTTTTGAGACAGAGTCTCACTTTGTTGCCCAGGCTAGAGTGAGTGCCATGGCATCAGCGTAGCTCACAGCAACCTCAAACTCCTGGGCTCAAGTGATCCTCCTGCCTCAGCCTCCTGAGTAGCTGGGACTACAGGCATGCACCACAATGCCCAGCTTTTTTTTTTTTTTTTTTTTTTTGAGACAAGTTCTCACTCTGTTGCCTGGGCCAAAGTGCAGTGGCATCATCACACATCTAAGACTTTGAAAAAAACTTTTTGAGGCCGGGTACAGTGGCTGACGCCTATAATCCTAGCACTCTGGGAGGCCGAGGAGGGCGGATTGCTTAAGGTCAGGAGTTCGAAACCAGCCTGAGCAAGAGCGAGACCCCATCTCTACTATAAATAGAAAAAATTTAATTGGCCAACTAATATATATAGAAAAAACTTAGCTGGGCATGGTGGCGTATGCCTGTAGTCCCAGCTATTCAGGAGGCTGAGGCAGCAGGATTGCTTGAGCCCAGGAGTTTGAGGTTGCTGTGAGCTAGGCTGACGCCATGGCATTCACTCTAGCTTGGGCAACAAAGCAAGACTCTGTCCCAAAAAAAGAAAAAAAATTTTGACATTGTAGGCCTTAAAGTTTTCTTGAATTAAAGTTAATCTGATGCAAAACTTAGATCCCTCCACAATGTATGGCCTCAAAACTTTTCTCACTAACAGGCCTCAGTACTAGGATATAACCTTGGGTTTCTGACTAATCAAATCTCTACTACTGGGATTCACTAGACATCTCAGGGAAGAAATTTACTAAGAAAAATGGAAATTACCAGGGATATGAATGGCCCAGTACATTAATACAAAGCAGAGTAAAATAAAATAGAAAAAAACAATTTACCAGAGTGCCACAGAATAAGCAGGGGCCGGAACCCTCTTGTTCACAGACAATGCGGCCACAGATCAGACAGTTATTGATGAGCTTGTGCTTCTGGCCCAGGCAGTCACAAGGGTGGCGACCGGGGAGCAGGACTGCAAGCCTGTCCTGTCCCTCTCTTGCGTATAAATTGACAAACTTTGTCTTCTTCTTTACGGAGTTGCTGTTCTCTTGTGCCTAATTATACAAAGACATCAGAATAACATCAAGTTATTAATGACAATGACCAAGAATAAAGGGGGAAACCATCAGTTCTATTTAATAACAAGTTATATACTATCCAAGAACCATGGAAGAGGAAAGGGAGAAGAATACAAATTACTTATAATCAAGGATCTGAGGAAAGGCTATGCTCTAGAAAAACTAGCCAATAATAACCTTCCCTTTTCTGCTGGTAGCTCTCAGTCCACTACTATTGCTGGTGAAATGTAAATGCAACAAAGCTGTTTATATATTTAATAACATCTTTAAACACAGCTACATTGAAGACCATAAAGAAACAAAAATGCCTCCAAAAGCAAATGATATTTAAGAATTTAGGCCGGGGCGTGGTGGCTCACGCCTGTAATCCTAGCACTCTGGGAGGCCGAGGCAGGCGGATTGCTCGAGGTCAGGAGTTCAAAACCAGCCTGAGCAAGAGCCAGACCCCGTCTCTACTATAAATAGAAAGAAATTAATTGGCCAACTAATATACATAGAAAAAATTAGCCAGGCATGGTGGTGCATGTCTGTAGTCCCAGCCACTCGGGAGGCTGAGACAGTAGGATTGCTTGAGCCCAGGAGTTTGAGGTTTCTGTGAGCCAGGCTAATGCCACCGCACTCACTCTAGCCTGGGCAACAAAGCAAGACTCTGTCTCAAAAAAAAAAAAAGAATTTAGAAATATAAGCAAGCAATAAGAAAAATCAATAAAAAATTGACTCAATCAGAAATCAGTAAGAAAAGGTCAGATAACACACGGGCAAAAGACTTAAAAACTTTATAAAAAGATATCAAAAGGAACAATAGGTATATGAAAAAGTACTCAACTCCATTAGTCATCAAAATAATGCAAAATGAAAACACAATGCAATACCACTACATACCAACCACACGGCTAAACTGAAAAAGAAAGAACATACCAAGAGCTGGCAAGGTTATGTAACAATCAGAACTCTCATATGGTGTTGGTGGGAGTGCAAACTTAAATCTACTAAAGCCAAACATATGCATAGCCTGTGACACAGAAAGTCAACTCCTGGATATACGCTCAACAGAAATGTGTAAATATGTTCAACAATAACATGTACAAGAATGTTCACTATAGGGGCAGAGGGTAGGAGGGGTAAAAATTTAACTATTGGGTACAATGAACATTATTCAGGTGATAGGTACACTAAAAGCCCCAACTTAAGCCTTACACAAGGTATCCAAGTAATGAAAACATTTGTACCCCCTTAATATTTTGAAATTTAAAAATATACATATAAATAATTAATTTATAAATAATAATTAATATTAATAACATTAGGGGAGAATGTCCACCATATAATTAGAATTGGAAAGTACCCAAATGTTCAACAGTAGAATGACTAAATTGTGATGTATTCACTTAATAAAATCTTTCTTTCTTTTTCTTTTCTTTTTTATTTTTTTTTGAGACAGACTCTTACTCTGTTGGCCGGGCTTGAGTGGCATGGCGTCAGCCTAGCTCACAGCAACCTCAAACTCCTGGACTCAAGCGATCCTGCTGCCTCAGCCTCCCGAGTAGCTGGGACTACAGGCAATTGCCACGATGCCCAGCTAATTTTTTATATATGTACTTTTAGTTGTCCAGCTAATTTCTTTCTATTTTTACTAGAGACAGGGTCTTGCTCTTGCTCAGGCTGGTCTCAAACTGCTGACTTTGAGTGATCCTCCGGCCTCGGCCTCTCATAGTGCTAGGAGTACAGGTGTGAGCCACCACGTCTGGCCAATAAAATCTTTCTTTTTTTTTTTTTTTTTTTTTTTATTTTTTTTTTCTTCACTTTTAATTACTGGTTCAAAAAATCTTTCTTATGTAGCAATGAGAAAGTACAGCTACACAAAACAATATAGATGAATCTCATAAACAATGTTATTAATAATTGAAAGAAGCCAGACACAAAATAAAGTCCATACTGTTTACTATTTAGCACCATTTATACAAAGTTGAAAAACAGGCAAAACTAATTTATGGTGTTAGCAGTCAAGGTCTTTTCCCTTAGGAAGGTTGTGATTTTTGTACACAGGGGGTTTTCTAGAGGACTAGTAATGTTTTGCTTATAGTTATAAGCGTTCACTTCTTTATGTATGTTATAAAATAAAAAAGGGTTTTTTTGTTGTTGTTTTTAATTTTAGAGATGGGGGTCTCACTCTTGTTCAGGCTGGTCTTGAATTCCTGACCTCAAGGGATCCTCCTGCCTCTGCCTCCCAGAGTGCTAGGACTACAGGCATGAGCCACCATGCCTGGCCAATAAAAAAAGTTTTAAAAAGAACTATGGGCCAGTTGCAATGGCTCATGCCTGTAATCCTAACACTTTGGAAGACCAGGGTGTGAGTATCACTTGAGGCCAGGAGTTCAGGACCACCCTGGGCAACATAGCAAGACCCTGTCTTTACAAAAAAAAATTAAATAAGCTTAGCCAGGCTTGGTGGTGTGCACCTGTAATCCCAGCTACTTGAGAGGCAGAAGTGGAGGATCACTTGAGCCCAGGAGTTCAAGATTACAGTAAGCTATGATTGTGCCACTGCCTGGGCAACAAAGAGAGACCCTACCTCTAAAAAAAAAAACAAAAAAAAAACAGAATTATGTCTATCACCCTCTGACACTGATTGTATAGATTCCTCTCTTCAGGACCATGTTGTGATCTTACTATTCCTTTACATTGAGTTTCTCACTTATTTCCAGAGTCTGAAGATTCAGAGAAGAAAAATCTAAAGAGTTCTGATGGATGGGAAAGTTACTAAAAGAAAGAGAACAATTCTTAGGTAAGTAAAGAGAGAGGTGATATTGCTCTAATGTCCAAAGCAAAAAGTTGAGATGGAGAGACAATATCAAATAAGTCAATTTAGGTATGAATGAAACCCTAAGACAAGTGCTGACGATTTTATCTAATCTAGCTGGTTGCCATTTTTCAAAATTCATCAATTTTAGTCTATCAAGACATTATATTTTTATATCTTTAAATAATTTAAGGCCAGGCGCGGTGGCTTACGCCTGTAATCCTAGCATTCTGGGAGGCCGAGGCGGAAGGATCCCTGAAGGTCAGGAGTTCGAGATCAGCCTGAGCAAGAGCAAGACCCTGCCTCTACTAAAAATAGAAAGAAATTAACTGACCAACTAAAAATATATAGAGAAAAAATTAGCCGGGCATGGTGGTGCATGCCTGTAGTCCCAGCTACTCGGGAGGCTGAGGCAGAAGGATCGCTTGAGCTCAGGAGTTTGAGGTTACTGTGAGCTAGGCTGACGCCACGGCACTCTAGCCTGGGCAACAGAGTGAGACTCTATCTCAAAAAAATAAATAAACTAAAATAAAATAAGGTGTTTGAGGGATTGAGGGCTGCACTTTGATGAAGTCTCTTATACATAATGGGCAATAAACATTTATTTAGAAGGAGAAGGAGAGAGAGAAAACTAGAGGAGGCCAGAAGGGGAGAACAGGTCTAGCAGGAAAATTCATATGTCGCCCCACAGTTTAAAACCATTCATTGGCTTATCATTGTGCTTAGAACGAAATCCAAACTGCTCCCAATGGCTTATAAAGCCCTACATATTGAATACAGGTGCTCTCCAATCTCACCTATGATTACATATCATTCTTCCTGTGCTTACTATACTCCAATCACAAAGGCTTTCTAAAACTTCGTAACTTTCTAAAATTTTTCTCCATCTTCCCTTTGCACTTGTTATTTCTTATGTATGCAGTGTCCCTAGCCAATTTCTTTACATACTGACTCCTTTTCAGTGTTCAGATCTTAGTTACAATTTTTCCCCCTCAGAGAGGACTTCCTTGAACATCTACCTAAACTAACTCTGTCTACCAATTGCTGCCTATCACAGTCAGTTAAAAAATTTTTTTCTACTCTTTCTTCTGAGCCACAAAAAATGTAAAAGCTAGGAAAGCAAAAAACCTAGTATGTCTTGCTAACTGATTTATCTCCAATGCCTAAATCAGTGCTTCACATACAGTACACGTGCAATAAAAATTTCTGAATAACCACATAAATTGCTTGTGGAAGTTCAAGACAGATTTACCTACGGGTCCAAAAATTGAACTTTAAATATAGTTGATCCTTACTACTTAAGGATTTGGATCTGTGAATCCGCCTACCTACTAAAATTTATCTGTAACCCCAAAATCAATACTCAAGGTGCTTTTAGGATCATTCATCAATATGCACAAAGTGTTGAAAAATCTGAGTTGCCAAACGTGCACTTTCCTAGCTAAGGTCCAGCAAGGCAATAATCTGCCTTTGTTTTAGCTCTCATACTATTATCAAGTATCTTTTTCATTGTCTATTTAGTGCCATGTTTTTACCATTTGTGTGCTTTTTGTTGGTGGTGTCACCATTTAAAATAGTCCCCATGCATAGTGCTGTCTAGTGTTCCTGAGTGTAAGGTGGCTGTGCCTTATGGAGAAAATAGGTGTGTTAGATAACCTTTGTTTAGGCATAAATTACAGTGCTGTTTACTCCTAGTTCAATGTTAACGAATCAACAATATATATTAAATAAAGTATCTTTAAACGGAAACATAAAATAAGGTTATATATTGAATAGTTGACAGAAATATTGTGACCAGAGGAACACAAGAACCTAACTATGTATTTTCCCTAGGAGCAAATGGTTCCATATTCACTAATTCAGTATACATGGTAGCTTTATAGATGATAACTACCACCTGAACACAGTGGCTCACACCTGTAATCCCAGCACTTTGGGAGGCAGAGGGGAGAGAACCACTTGAGGCCAGAAGTTCGAGACCAACCTGGGCAACGTGTCAATACACTGTCTTAACAAAAAATAAAAGAATTAGCCAGGCATGGTGGTATATGCTTGTAGTCCCAGCTACTCAGGAAGCTGAGGCTGGTGGATCACTTGAGCCCAGAAGTTTGAGGCCACAATGAGCTATGATGAGGCCACTGCACTCCAGCGTGGGTAACAGAGCAAGACTCCATCT